ACTCCCCACAACCTACATGCCGAGCAAAACCTTACAGCGACGCGTTGAGGACTCAAACTTAAGCCTGTAGCTACCTAAACCCGGCTTCATCTCAGCTTCATCTCAGCCCCGAAGCTCCAATGTCTCAATGTCAATGGCCTATGAGGGTTACAGTATCTCCTACCCTAAACCTATGATTTTGGGGCTTCGTGCTTCTGTGCCGTGTGTTTGTTCGGGCTTTCTGGGTTCGTGCCCCTCTTTGGTTCAGGGTTTTCAGGTGCAGAGCCTGAGGGCTTCTTCTCCAGGGGTTTTCAGGTGCTGCGAGAGCCACCTACAAAGCAAACAAAAGCCCTACGCGCCGAGCCCTTTTGCTACATCGGGGAACCTGTTTCGTACCTTTAGCTACTTGCGGTTGTCTAGATTCCCAAAATAGATAGCCGCACAGCGATGGATACGGATAGCAAGCCTACAAACCTGAATCCCCAAACTCCCAACCCCAAACCCTAAATTCCTACACTCAAATTCCCACACCTGCCTGTCGCTAGTTCTAGATATAGAGGCCGAAATAGACCCTGCCTCTCGGAGCTGCGCGAGGCCCAGGCTCAACAGAAGCGCAAGGCAGACGAAGCGCAGCAGAGCCGGGGCAGCACCGGTTAGGGTCTGTGTTTAGGGGGTTTCGGGTTTGAGGCTATAGGGGTTCAGGGTTTAGGGGGTTTGGGGATTTAGGGGTTTAGGGTTTAGGGGTTTAGGGTCTAGGGGTTTAGGGGTTTAGGATTTAGGGGTTTAGGGTCTAGGGTGTATGGGTTCAGAATGTGAGGCTTTTTTGAGCCTAGAGGGTTTAGGCCTGATACAGATACTGGGCACTGGGGTGTAGGAGTTTACGGTTTGGGGTTTAGGGTTTAGACTTCAAGTTTCAGGGTCAATGAGTCAAGGGTGCAGGGTTGTGGCTCTGGGTCTGGGCTTGGCGGGGCTTGGGTAGCGTTCCGCTTCCTGCACCCTAAAACCCTAAACCCTAAAACCCTAAAACCCTAAACCCTAAACCCTAAAACCCTAAAACCCTAAACCCTAAACAGCTGCAAGGCCTGTGAAGGAGTGCCGAGTTTGATTCGCAGATGATGGTGGTTCCTTCTTGCATCAAAATTACATCGCAGGGGATGTTTGCCCAAGCCAAAAGGATACCCTGAGCCCCATGAGATCTGCCAAGTCTAGAAGCTTGAAAGGGCTCATGGGGCGTTCGTAGGGGTTTTGATTCGGGCGGTGTGGATCCAAGCTTTGGTGAAGCCTTACTATCTCCGGCAGTACATCATTCTTAAACTCTACCATCCTCCTCAAAGCCTAAACCCTCAACTCCCAACCCTCAAAGCCAACGCCTTGTAAAGCCCTACAGCAGCACTAAATCCCAAAGGCCCCAGCCCCGAAGCCACAACTCCCAAACCCTCAACCCCCGACTCTCCCAACTCCCTAAACCCTAGACTCCCTAAACCCCTCAACCCCCTAAACCCTAGACCCCTATAGACCCCATGAGCCATCCCAAGCCCCAAAAGGCCCTAAAAAACCTTCCGAAGCTCCGAGCCCTGAGCCCCGCCTCTAAGGATCAAGGAGGCCGAGAGGGCCAGGGCCCTGGTGGGCCTCACTCCGTGTTGTTGAATAAGTGTTAGGGCGGTTAGGGTTTAGGGCGCTTAGGGCGGTTAGGGCTTAGGGTTTAGGATTTAGGGCGGTTAGGGTTAGGGTTTCGGGTTTAGTGTTTGTGTGGGTTTCACCCTGGGGTCTTGTTTCAGTTTGACCAGGGGTTTTGTATGGGTTTATTGCTTGAAGGCGCAGAGGACTAAGTGGGATTGTAGGTAGGACAGCAATCGGTATAGCTACTGAAACCCCAATCCAGGTACCATATAGCCCCACTTACAGAGTCCCCTGGTCCTGTAAGTGGGCGTAAAGAAGAGGTCACCTCCAGGTGGACCGGTTGGGGTGTTTAGGGTTTAGGTTTTGGCGGGTTTGGGGGTTTACGATTCTGGAGCCCACCACTTCGAGTGATTGGGGTCGGCTTGAGGAATCAAGTCGCAGTGAACTCGACTTCAAAGCCTCCTGGGTTTTAGCGAGGGGTTTCTGAATCGGACTCCCAAATTAAGCCCGAAGCCCTGGCCCCAAAGATCGAGCCTTCCTTATGATGGGGTGTGGGGGGGGGGGGGCTTTTCGGCACTACCGGTTTAGAGTTTAGGGTTTAGGGTTTAGGGGACACCCCGGTTTCGAGCTGTTCGCTTCAGAGGCCCGGAGCTCCTGAAACCCGAAAGCTTGAGTTCGGAGTTTGGAGGACCAGGGACCTTGCCTAGGTTCTCCAGAAGTACCCTCTTGTTGGGTGCCCTGGTTAAAACCAAATAGTAGGGAAAAGGGTACCCTTATTATTAAGGGGCTACTGGGGAACCTAGTTAGTGAGTAGGGTCTGAAGCACCTTCGTTGGGGTTATATGCTGGAGGATCAGGGGCCTTAGAAAGTAGGGGATTAGGAAACATCAAACTGAACAACTATACCTAGGTCTAGACAAAAGGAAAGGGTCCTGTGAGGAGCCTACCACCCCAAAGTCTAAGACATTTTCCGGTGAGTATGTAGTTACCGTTATAGGAGCCTTTTTGAAGGTCTATATACCTTATAGAAGCCCTATAGAAGCCCTATATAGCCTAAACTCCCCACCTGTAGTTTCCTTTAACAAAGGGGAAGCCCCCCTCGAGGACTGGTCCATTCCGATACCAGACATTTTCCTCGCGAAGATGCGGGCCCTTAGCTCGGAGTCGTGGCGTCTGAGAGTCCCTAAACCTAGGTCCTACCTGGACCCTAAATAACCTAACTTTTCATTTTTAAGGACTGGTATATAAGGAAATCATAATCAGGATCCCCAAAAAGGTAGGTCTCAGAGGGTCCAGGTAAACACCAAAGCGAGTCGAGCGGAGGGTTGATGACGGTTTGCGCGCAGGAGCTCGGGCTTTCGGGTCTTGTCGGGTGCTACGGTTTTGGGAGTCGGAGAGGGGGGCCCCTTTCCTCCGAAGGCCGTGCAGAGTGGATGTTGTGTCCTACGAGGTTATGATGCATGTTGGGTTTGACATATTTTGATTAATATAATATGAATATGGCTTTCAGAGGCTCATGATTTTTTTGCCTTCGACCCGCAAGCCGCCTCTGAATCTGATGATTCCATGCTCGCTCAATGTCTCGCTGCTGATCGTGATCTCGATTCGCCAGCCCCCCCCCCCCCCACAGAAACCGTAGGCCCTAAACCCTAAACCTTCAACTCAAGTCCTAGTTGCACCCCGGGGGCTTAAAACGGCGCCCTCCGGAGCCCAAGGTGGACCTTGGGGTGAGGCTGCCCGGAGCTGAGACCTGGGAATTGCCGACAGGGAAAAGCTGCGGCGGTGTTGGGGTTTGGAGATTCGGCTTCGGGGCCTATTCCATGGAAGTGTGGGCGGGTGGGGGGTGGGGGGGTGTTGAGGGTTTAGGGGGTGGAGGGTCTGAGACGAAAATGCTCAAAGCCTTGGTAAGTTGACTGAGGTCCAATGGTGACCAGGAGGACGATTCGAGGACGCATCAGGGTGATGAAAAAACACGACGGGCCGCAGATCTGTTCGGGCATTTTGGTTCTCAGTCTTGCCATCGACACCCCATGCCCGAGTCCAGGGGAGTCTTGGATGGCTCATGGCATGAACAGTGGCGGTAAAGTCCCAGATGTGTGCAAATGGGCTGAAAGCTGAATCCGGGTCTGCAGTAAACCGCAGCGCCTGGCTCCGCTGGAACACGATAGACTTCCCTGAAGCCCACTGGTCAAGGGAAAAGAGTTCCAACTATCAGACCCTAGTGTGGAATGTTGATGAGCACGATGGGTGCCCCCAGTGTTGAAGGCCGAAACCTGCAATCCCAACCTTACGAACCACCGGGTTTCCGCACACCCTCCTACTTCAAGGGCATGCTTTTGTCCTTTGGAAGGTCAGGGGACTCAGTAAGGGGAGGGTTCGGTGTAGTTCTCGAATCAGGTCTACTTACTACAGAGATCCTTCACGCGGTCGTTTGCACCTCCTTTCAGATTCCCGACGCACCGCCCCTACCTGACCGGAACCCCCCCTGAACCTGAAGCCATGAACCCCAAACCGTCCAAACAAAGCCTCTTGACTCCTGTATGCTAGACCCTGCACTGCCCTAAATCTTCAACGCCCTCAAATGTCTCGACATCCAGAACGCCCAGCCGAAGACTTGAAGGAACGTCGAGGACAAAACTCGGCGTGGCTCAATGTCCGGCTCGCTGTGGGGCTGCCTAGATTGGTATCTATTTTATAAGGTCTGTTGCGGAGCTGCGGAAGTCGAACCCAAATGCACAAAACCCCGTAAAGTAGGGCTGCAGTGGAGCTACGTAGAGCTCTGGATGGTTTCCTGTTTCTGAAAATCTTACCGCATGAACACAGACACAGCTGTATTGTGCAAATATATACCGTAAATAAGTTTATAAGTAAGTAAGTCTGCATGCATGCACGTATGCGTGCGTGTTCGGGTTCAGGGTTTAAGATCCCGAGCGCTACATCCTGGAATCCAAGCAAACGCGCACAAGTTCTCACCTTCCGAGAGCCTCGGTTCACAACACTGCTCAGCTTTCAGTGTCTCGGCTCCTGGTACTTGCAAAGGTGCTCGTGGGTTTAGAGTTTAGGGTTTAGGGTATGAGGGTTCCAGTGTCCTTCGGCAGAGGAGGCTTTCGGCAGTGTTGGATCCCTGCTTCAAGGTTTGACCTGAGGATCAGTTCGCTTGCATCTGCACCGCCCCATGGTTTTTTTTCGTGGGCTTTGTTTACGGGTTCGGGGTTTGGGGTTGAGGAGAGTTTCAACGGTGAAGCCAGCTGCGAAGTTCCAAAAGCACATGGAAAGCCTCGCGGCAAGCGTGAAGTAAACTTCCAGTGCCCCATCAACATGCAAACCTGAAAGTGTGAAGCTTCAGCACAAGAACGAGACCCTAAACCCTAAACCCTTAACTTAGATCTTCATTTGCCTGAGTTTGGCGAAGTACCACCGCCGGGTGGACCGTCAGCCGGGCGCTCAGAAGAAGGTTTATTGCCTAGGTTCTCCAGAAGTGCCCTTTTGCCCTGTTTCTTTTTGGGTTTCCCTTATTAAAAAGCCAAATACTAGGAAAAAGGGTACCCTTATCATTAAGGGGCTACTGGGGAACCTAGTTGCTCTAGCCGTTTAAGGGCTATTGGGGTTTAGCTTCCGGTTCATTATGTCAGTTGGGCATTGTCAGCTATGCCTGTTTTTTGTTTGGCACGTAGTCTGGCAATTTAGCATGGTTGTAAGGCCGCTGCCCCTTAAACAGAACTTCGCATGCCCGAAGAAACGTCCAGCCTTCGGTGGACCCCCACGCCCAAAGCCCCAAACTCGATGGAACCCTACGAGGCCCTAATGCAAGAATGCCCTGACCCGACAGACTCGCATAGACCTGTAAGAACACGATAAGAATCCTACAAGAACCATAGAAGAACCCTATGAAGAACCTTACAAAGAACCCCCAAGAACGCCGCGCTGTAGCAGTCCTGTCGTCACTGCGACCGAGGCACGACGATCGGGCCGAGCGGGAGGCGAAAGTTGTCGGTAGATCCATTCTGCATAGCCATAGGCTCCATAGTAGTTCTTTCATTTCTTGTGGTTTATATTATAGGATCCTATAAGGTAATCCCAAAAGGAACTACCATGGAGCGTATGGGTATGGGTAGATTGCTAAACTCGGGTACCTTTTCTAGGTCCCCAAAATAGTACGGCACCCTTACAAAAACGGACCCTCAATGGGACCCTAACTTAGAAAACTACCCATACAAGTACAAGTAAGCGCTCATCTACAGATCTGCAATAGAGGCTGTAAGGTTCAGGGTTCAGGGCTTTTGGGGTTGGACCGGGTCGAGTTCCAAGCCCCCAAGCGCAAAACCTAACTCTCAGGATGCACTCTTTTGTCGTTTGATTACTGCGAGTGCATGCGTAATGATCTGCTTTGTTTGGTCAAGTATTTGATGTGATTTGTTCTGAGTTGTTCGACCTTTGTATATGGTATACTATTCTATGCCAGGACATGTTAAGGTGCTATGTTGCGCTCTGTTATGGGATGTTTGTCATACTCGCAAGCTGCAAAGTTTCGGACTCGCCGGCGCACGTGGCAAGTCGCCTGGGGGCGACTTGGGTTGTCTTGTCATCTTTGGCTTGCGCTGACAAAAAGGCTCCATCGTTTGTGGGCACCCAGTGCTACCAGGCCCTTAGCAGCCACCAGCTGGACAGCATCCAGTCCTTAGTGATCACACGAAGTCCGATACTCTCAACTGCCGAGCTGCTGAACCCTAACCCTCCAGGTACCTACAATATAGGGTACTAGAGCCTCTAGGGCCCTATATAGTAGGTACCTGGAGGGATAGGGGAACCTTGAACTTAGAATCCCCCAGGTCTTAGGCAGAGACACTTCGAAATCCCGAAAACTCAAACCCAGAGCCCTCAGAGTCTCGGAACACCAAGAGCCCCTCAGCCCTTAAACTCCAAACCTTGACGCCCTAAACCCTTAAGCCCTAAACCTTTAAAACCCTATAAAAACCTTAAGCCCTACGTCCTTTTAGCCCCAAACCTCCAACCACTACATCCAGCTGCAATACGTCAGGCGGAGATGCTGCAGACGCTCCACTTCTTGAGCGTCCCGGAGCATCGTCCCCAGTGGTAGCGGAGCTTTGGGGCCTCAGTATGGGTGATGTATACTATAGGGGCAAGAATTACAGGGTTCCTGTAAAGGTGACTATAAGGGGTGCTATATAGGGTTTAGAAACTTAAGCCAATAAGTAGAAGAGGGCTTTGGGGTATTTTTTCTGGAGTGTATGATGCAACCCTGCGGAACAGTGTTAGCAACTACTGTAGCTAGGCTCGGTGTTAGGGTCTTGTGTGTGTATCCTGTACGGGCTGTGGAGTTTGGTTTAGAGATGCTTAGGCTTGAGGGTGTATGTTTGCATAAAGATGTTCGGCAGTGTGCTCAAGCCGGGATTCATCACAAACTGCGTCACCATCAGGAATAACCCTAAACTCTAAGCCCTAAGCCCTAAACCATAATCCCTTGGTCTCTTGAGAAACCGTAGTCGGCAATGATCGACTCCCTGCGCATCGTTCAGGGCAGACGCTGCTGGAACTTTGGCACGAGGCACTATTACATAGGACTCTAGATCCGCATCAAACCAATGTAATGCCAATAAAACAGCTTGATACAAGCCTTGAAGCCTGTTTAAGACCTTATAGAACCTGCAGAGAACCCTTGCACACCCTATTAACCCTCCCATACCTTCCTCTGCAGACGAGGGAGGCTTTTCGCTACAAAAGCCTGTAAAGCTTTAACAACTACAAAGCCTAAAGATCCGCAAACAAACCTTGAACCACTCTAAAACCCTATAAACCTCGACCCCTCCGAGGTTAGAGCTCCAGGCACTGCGGAAAGAGCTGGCCCTCGCGGCAGAGGTCTGCGACGATTTCGAGTTCCACTGCAGAGCTCTCTACGGAGTTCTAGAATTCCGCTTCTACAAGAGGCTCTAGAACTCAGCATGTTTTGGGAAGAAAGAGGCTCTAGAAGGGTTTCTGTAAGGAAGTCTACGCGGAGCACTGAAAGGGAGTCTACAAGGGGCTCGATTTTTGGATCTGTAAGGGGATTCCATAAGGGGCTCTGTAAGAAGCTTACGGGCATCAGGGCCTTCTGTTTTGGTTCAAGGGCTTCGGAAATTGGATAAGTTGCCGTCCAAGGACTTCTGGAGTCTGGAAATTTGGAGATTTCGGGTTTAGGTACCAGGGTCTGTGGTCTTGGGTCTGCAGCTTTTGCCCGACGGCTGAAGAAATTGAATCTTTATGGTCCTCCAATATCCTTATCTCTTTCCCTCGGGTCTTGCAGAGGTCTTAGACGGAATTTGCAGAAGCCACGGTGGACTTTGGGTGCTGGACAGAGGAGCTTGAGGGTTCCCAAAGATAAAGCTGGACTGGGGCATTGCACCCAAAGGCCTCTGAATACCACAAACATAATGGCTCGAAGCGTGTCCATCGGCAACGAAGCGCCTGCCGAAACATGACAGCCTCGCTCAAACGAGGGCTCTCGCTGCAAAAAGTCGTGCGGCAAAAAAAGTAGAACTTGACAAGCCCTGAACCACCCAAGCCCTGATTCCTGCAGCCAAACCCCGTATACCTTTCCTGGCCAGTTGCCACCCAATCCGACTGGGTTGCTGCTCGTGGGAGGCTGCAGGGGCTTCGGAGTTTACGCTTTTAGGTTCTAGGGTTTAGGGCAGTGTAGGGTGTAGACGAGCCTTGCCTTTGGGGTATACCGTAATTAGGCTCGTCGATCATCAGTACAGGGGAGCGGATTGAAAGCAGATTCAGACTCAGAGCAGCCTCCTCTTTCCTAAGGTCTCCGGTTTCGGGTTTCGGGTGGGGGTTTGGGGTTTTAGCCTAGGGTTTAGGATTTAGTGTCATGGGTTATGTTGAAAGTGTGTGAAAGTTTCAGCTTGGTGCATCAGACTCTGTTCAGCTTCGTGCTCACTGCTTGCAGCTGTAGGCAGTAAAGCGCCTGGGATCTTAGCAGAGGGCTTTCAAAACCCCAAAACCCCACCCCACGAATATTGAGACCCAGACATGAAGTTGAAGGAGCATTTTTACGGTGTGCTCCACGCCCCGTGGATGCTTGAGCAGCTCATAAACCCCCCAAAACTTTAAATCGCCAGCAGGCACCGCTCAGATCTGCCAGCGAATTCTGGCAGCTCGGATGGGAGTTCTTCTAGGGACAGATTGTGGGGCTTCGGGTCTTACGCTTCCGGGGTTTCGCATTCGGGAATTGGGGTCTGGGACCCGCGTTGAGTTTCAACGAAGCCCGAATCTGCAAGGGCAAGCCTGCAACTGTGCCTTGCATGAATCCAAAGCTGAAAGAAGAGTGCCCGATTCCCACACTGGGCTGCCGATGGCTTGATCTGAGCAGGGATAGAAGTGCTTGCCTGGATTCAGCTTGTTGTCTTGGCGGATTCACTATGCTCACAGCTCGCCAGCACAGTACGACCAGTCATGTAAGCCCGAAATTCTCCCAAGCCCGAGAGCCAGGGAAAGACCGCCCCCAGCACAGGTGCCAAAGAACTCCCGGCGGCGGCCTGTGCCCAGAGATGAGCAGGCCGCCTGCCGGCGGAGAAGGGTTCACGGTTGTGATATTGCAGCTCCTATACAGGTCCCAACAAGACGCCACAAGCCCAAAACCCCAAGCATGAAACCCAAACCTCCGAATCCCGATAAGTCCGGTGACCTACCTGAAGTCTTGCCAGCCCCCCAGCCCTTGAAGCGAACCACCGAACCTCAAATGCCCCTTCCTTCGCAATGAATCATAACAACAGGAGACCCACAGCGGTAAACCTAAAGCCTGCTAACATTCCATGATCTTCGTTACAACACCTGTACCCGGATTCACTCCAAAAGCGCTCACCCCGCAGCCCTACTTCAGCCTTCGTCCCCCGCGAACCCTGAATCCGCTTAAAGAGTCCTGGTAAATCCGGCATGAAGCGCTCTTCAGCAGTCCCGCAAGACCTAGTTGAGAACTTCATAGCCGCCCTTGCAAGAAAACAGAAACTCTATGCCAGGCCCGTAAGACAAACGAACCTCATAACCACCCCCGGTAGAAAAAACAAACAAAAGCCAGTAAAGCGCGGAGGATGAGCAGGAGGCCCTCAAGAAGGCCCTGGCGGCCCTGCAAAAGGAGGGCCCGGGCTCTAAAGCGTAGGGTGGAGGAATAGGCAAGTCAATGCTTTGGACGTGGCCAAGATAGGGCTTAGGGTCGTGTGTTTAGTGCCTGTGAGTACGGAAAAGGTCGTGCAGGGAGGATGATTAGCAACCGCCTAGGTTTGTTTGCCAGCAGCAGCAGCAGCAGGGGTAGGACGGGTAAGAATCTGCAGCAACATCTCCCGAAGCTGAGGCCGCTCGGCAGCAGACATGGCGGCACACACGGAGGTGGGACTTAAACCTTATATTACAAGTAGCGCTGCGGCACCAACATGTACGGCCTGAGGGCTTGCTTCATGATGTGCATGCTCTAAGCTCGGCCAGCAAGAGCCGCATCCCCGCAGCCAAGAGTTTGAGCGTGATGCATAATAATTAGCTTAGCCCATTCAGAGTTAAGCTGTTAGGGGTCTAACTGCTGCCTTTCCGCAGGTCCGGCGCATCGCAAAGGCATGGGGACAGATGTGCTTGAAGACGTCGGTTGCAGATTCAGTCAGACTCGCCCCTCTAGAGACCCTTTGCCTCCAGTTCGATTTCCATGCTCGAAGATAGATCCTATGCAGGCCCAAAATAAGCCCCGTAAACCTACAAGCCCTGTCGTGGCCCTATCTTCGACGATCACAGGGGTATTGGGTTTTCCAGCCATAGGAGCTTCGGATCATCGGCAGTAGCATGCTTGAAGGATCAATGGTCGCTTCAGTGGGGCCACAAACAAGCATCGCAATCTGCTCTACTCGTATCATTACCACACGGTAAACCTACTTACTGCGTCTCTTCATCCTCTTCGAGAGAATCGTCTTCAAAAGACCTTCAAACGACCTGACTCGGGTCAGGGGACAGAGCACCCTCTTGCTCATGAATCGGGAGGATAAGCGCTTCTGAGCTTGCAATACACTTCATCGCAGGCCTGCGGTGTCAGTTGCAAAATCTACCGCTCATGTCATCTCCTCTCTTAACTCTCTTAGCAAGGAAAAGTACGTACCTTGATTGGGTGATATGATAACTACTGTTGATGATATAAATCCTGCATTAGCTGAGGGATTAGCCAAGCCTCCTCCCTCCTGAAACCGCATAAAACTTAACCCCAGCCCTTTAAACCGTTGTTAAACTCCTGCTCCCCAACCCTCAAAAGCCTGAAAAGCTAGATTTCTGCAAACAGGAGATCGTGCACCTCTCTGCTGAGAATACGCCGGGGCCTTCAGGTTTCGCTAGCCTCCAAACCGTAAAACTCCAATCACCAGGGTTTAGGGGTTTGGGGTTTAGGGGTTTAGGGTTCAGGGTTTAGGTTTAGGGTTCAGGGTTTAGGTTTTTAGGGTTCAGGGTTTCGGTGTTTAGGGTTCAGGGCTTAGAGCTTATAGGGTTCAGGGTTTTTCCATGAAAGACAGAGATGACGCTACTGGCCTTCTCCTTTCCCAAAAACCCTGGTACTGTCAAGGCTTCAAAGAGCTTGGAGTTTGAGGTTTGGGAGTGGGGGCAGTTGGTTTGAGTTTTTGGGTTTAGGGCTTTGGGATTCCGCATTGGCGCAGGGTATTTGTCAGCTCCTTTCCACGGGTTTAGACTGCTGAGCCCCTAAGGCAGCCCCGGAGCCCCGAAGCCCTCCCAACCTCCTGGCCCTAAACCCGTGTTGGGGGTTTAGGGGTTTAGGGCTTTAGGGCTTTAGGGGTTTAGGGTTTTAGGGCTTTAGGGTTTTAGGGGTTTGGGGTGTAGGGTTTAGGACTCCCGACCAGAAACACATTTGGGTATTTTTGTTCGACGCTTCAAGCTTCAGATAGCTACAGGTCTTCTTGCTACCACATGGCCGGCTACGAGGACCAGGCGCCCACCGCGAGAAATGGGGGGGCGGGGGGAGGGATTTGGAGCTTGGAGTAGGGGGGCTTGTTGTTAGTTTTCCTCTGGGAATTGTAGGTTTTTTTGTTAAGAGTGGTTGTTGGAATGTGCAAAGGTGCAAGGTGGGGGGGCATAGGGTCGTAGTGAAGGGCACCTTATTTAGGGGTCCAAGATTGCGTGCAAAACAATGGTTATCTTACAGTATGTAGGGTTTTCACTGCGGTCTTCTCATTTTATGAAACTCCCAAGTTGGTGTGATGGGCTGTCAGCTGGCTTGGAGTCTGTCTTGGTCCTACCCTATTTACGAATTTTTTTACCACCATCAAGCCCGTCAAGTCTAAACCCAAGACCCAAACTCCAAACCTTTCAACCCGTTGCCCTTGCCCAGGCATCAGGCATGGCAATTTCCTTCGGGCTTAGTTTTTCAGCGGCGATGCCTGTGAAGCCGCACAGCATCCTCGAAGAAGCATCCCACTAGTAGCAGTAGCAAAAAGATCCCCCTGAGGCTTGGCCAAACCCTGTGAGCCCAAATCAGCTGAACCTGTAGAGGAGCAAAAGGACAAGGTTGCGGCGGCGCTGCGGTTGCTTGAGCCGGGCTGCCAGGGGGTGTCTGGAGGCAGAGGCTTCGGTGAGTTTTAAACTCAAAAGGGGTTGGGGCTGAGGGGTTTACGGTTCGGGGTTATCTTTCTTGTTGTTGTCAGTTCTAAAGCCCTGGTTTGGGATGAGCGCTGCGTGAAATGGCTGTTTGGCCCGAGAAGGATTGGTGCCTGAGGCCACTACATCGCGAGGTGACTTCCGACTCTTTCCCTACTCAGCCATGCGTGAGGCAATCTGCATCCACATCGGTCAGGCCTGGTTCTGCTTCTTCTGGTTCGCACTAAACTCTGAACCGTGAACTCTAAACTCTAAACCCTAATCCTGAACCCAAACCATCCTGAAACCTAACACCCTGAAGCCCCGCAAACCGGAGACAACAGCAAGAGGCAGCTCGAGAGATCACGGCTGCACCGAGCTTTAACAGAAAGGGTGCTGGGGGTGAAGAGTTTCAGATTTCGAGCTACGGTCTGGATTGAAATTGGGAGTTTAGGTCTTGGGGGCTTTAAGGTTCAAGCGTAAGGTGGTTCGAAAGTTGACGGTGCGTTGGTGGAACATGTTGGTTTCTAATTTTCGGGTGGGCTGCTTCACCATGCGAGAACCCACAATGGGCTTCCGGCCGTTTGGGGGTTTAGATCTCCGGGGAGCTCTGCGGCTTGGGCTTTGTGGGCTTGGGTCGCAATCAGCTGATGTCAGCTGCTGGCAGGGCGGCGTGCAGATCGGCAATGCTTGCTGGGAGCTCTTCTGCCTCGAGCACGGCATTCAGCCGGACGGCCAGATGCCTTCCGACAAGACGATCCAGGGCCGCAGCTGGGGGGAGGTAGTGTTTTGGGCTTCGCAGGCGAGTTCCACAGGCCTTTCATAGGGTGTACACGAAGCATCGCCGTGCAGTGAGAAATCTGAGGATTGGAGGAGGAGACGAAGCTTCGCCGCACTTGGAGAAGACAAAGATGGTGTCGAGGAATATTGGGAGGCCTCCCTATCGTAACAATTGTAGGAGAAAGCTGTGGCCCTGTCGTACTTTCATCATATTCCACTTGGAGAATCGTGGGCATTGTTTCGTGCGGGCCACAGCTGCGGCATAGCTTGGGTCAACTGGCTCAGTCTCGCCTCGTTTCTAGAGCGCCTCCCGCAACTTATTATGGTACGCTCTGGTAAGCCACTAGCCAGGTCACGAAACAGGGGTCGAAGGTCATGCATAATTATGGCATAAGTGGGAGCAGAGCTAGCATGTGGCAACTGCCCTGAAGTTTAATCCACCCGCGCTGCCCAGACCCCTCAATAGCAACCGCGACGGGTATGTCATGGCATGTCACATTATGTTGCGATGTGTTTGTCTTATGCTTTTCTTGTGGTTTTGGTGTGTGCACTGCAACATGACACGGGAAGAAGTCTCTAGTCGGAGCCGTGACGGTTTCCAGTTTCAACACTGCCCTTTGCCGCAGCAGCAGCAGCAGCAGCAGCAGCAGCAGCAGCATCACCACCAGCACTGCGTTAAATTGGGTTCTTGACCCGAGATGTCGCTTTTAACATGACTCGGGCACCACGTCACGCTTGCGACAAGGACTGGCTTTGTCCGTGCTCGTATGTGAGTTGTGTTACGCATCCTGATATGGTACTCTGGTGCGTGAGCTTGCTTTCCTGGTGGCGCCTGAAATTCAAGGGCACAGACTGTTCATGTGGTGTTTGCTCGATGCTTGGTCTTGCGGTTCAATGGTTAAAGCGCTTGCTTCGTGCACTCTCTTTATTTTGAGTGCAGCGTGAATGTCGCAGTATCTCTGGGACTTGTGGTTGTCACCACTTGTTTCGTCGGAGCTCTTTGCTTGAGTGCTGGCAGTAGTGGTGCCGTGTTTGGTGAGCTTGCGGATCATCGGTGACTTCAGAGGGGGTTCTGGCCTTGCAGCCAAGACTACAGCCACAAAGAGGGACGAGCCCCAGTGGAAAAGGGCAGCGGTACTGGTGGCAAGGCCGGCAAGCCCGTACAGCCGCCGCACACGCAGGGTATACTGTGTTACTGGCGAAGCGTATGGCCTTCGTGTAGCCCTTCAATTTTTCGGGGCAACTGAGAATCCGCAACGACTTCTGCAAAGAATCAGCTCGTGGCTGCATGATATCGCATCCACAGGGCACCACCCCGCCGGGCCTTACGCGCCTTGTGCCGACGACAGTTAGCTTAGGTCCAGTTTGTCAAGCGTGGCAAGGGCAAAAGCAAGGACAAACGCAACAGGGGGGACAGGCAGCTTATACATCCTCGCATGCAGGCGTTGTAGGTTGCATGTGGTACTAGCAGTCTGCTTAATGCTGCGCTGCGCATGCCTGGTGTTTGCTTGATTGCCTGTGGCTTCACATGACATATCCTTCCGATGCGAGGCATAAGAGACAACTCGGCCGCACAAACCTTGCATTCATAAGATGGGACTGATGCACAAAATGGCGTGCCGGTTGAGCCAAACGGCCCGAAATGAAGAGGCTTGTCATGAAAGCATTGCGGTCGTGGTTGCGATGCCAACGGCATCTTCGACAAAGAAGATTGATTAATGATGAAAAACAAGAGCACGCAAGAGTCCGCAACAGGAAAACCTATGTCGTTCTAAGCTGAAGACGTCCGAAGTGGTGGGTGGTTGCCGTGATGCTGTGACACCACTCAGTGTGACTGTGACCCTTGTGCAGGCTCCATCACGCCCTCTCGCTGTGCATTTGTTTGTTCAGTCCGCCGTATTTTCTTGGTTTGCAGCTAATGCATTGCACCGCATGCCGCTATGCGGCTCAACATAGAAACACGCATGATTAAACCGGCTAGCAGCCTAGCGTTTTTTCTCACCACCCTCCACGCCCTGGTGGGTAGCAGCACGGCATCGCTTGCCTTCTGTCTCCGTTGCGTGATTAGAAACCTGGAGAACTGCCTCGTGTGAGTGTGATCGGCTGTTACCGGTTGACACTTGATTGGCTTCTGCTGGACTGCGTGCCTCCGCTGAGGAAAGACCCGAGCTTTTGGCGGGCAGTTTTGCTGTGACCATGCTTTTGGCGTT